GACAGCACATTGACCAAATGTAGACAACACATTGACCAAATGTAGACAACACATTGACCAAATGTAGACAGCACATTGACCAAATGTAGACAGCACATTGACCAAATGTAGACAGCACATTGACCAAATGTTGACAACACATTGACCAAATGTAGACAACACATTGACCAAATGTAGACAACACATTGACCAAATGTAGACAACACATTGACCAAATGTAGACAACACATTGACCAAATGTAGACAACATATTGACCAAATGTAGACAACATATTGACCAAATGTAGACAGCACATTGACCAAATGTAGACAACACATTGACCAAATGTACAGAGCACATTGACCAAATGTAGACAACACATTGACCAAATGTAGACAACACACTGACCCTTACAGACAACACATTGACCAAATGTAGACAACACATTGACCAAATGTAGACAACACATTGACCAAATGTAGACAACACATTGACCAAAATGTAGAGAGCACATTGACCAAATGTAGACAACACATTGACCAAATGTAGACAACACATTGACCAAATGTAGACAACACATTGACCAAATGTAGACAACACATTGACCAAATGTAGACAACACATTGACCAAATGTAGACAACACATTGACCAAATGTAGACAGCACATTGACCAAATGTAGACAGCACATTGACCAAATGTAGACAGCACATTGACCAAATGTAGACAACACATTGACCAAATGTAGACAACACATTGACCAAATGTAGACAACACATTGACCAAATGTAGACAACACATTGACCAAATGTAGACAACACATTGACCCTTACAGACAACACATTGACCAAATGTAGACAACACATTGACCAAATGTAGACAGCACATTGACCAAATGTAGACAGCACATTGACCAAATGTAGACAGCACATTGACCAAATGTAGACAACACATTGACCAAATGTAGACAGCACATTGACCAAATGTAGACAACACATTGACCAAATGTAGACAACACATTGACCAAATGTAGACAACACATTGACCCTTACAGACAACACATTGACCAAATGTAGACAACACATTGACCAAATGTAGACAACACATTGACCCTTACAGACAACACATTGACCAAATGTAGACAGCACATTGACCAAATGTAGACAGCACATTGACCAAATGTAGACAGCACATTGACCAAATGTAGACAACACATTGACCTAATGTAGACAACACATTGACCAAATGTAGACAGCACATTGACCAAATGTAGACAGCACATTGACCAAATGTAGACAGCACATTGACCAAATGTTGACAACACATTGACCAAATGTAGACAACACATTGACCAAATGTAGACAACACATTGACCAAATGTAGACAACACATTGACCAAATGTAGACAACACATTGACCAAATGTAGACAACACATTGACCAAATGTAGACAACACATTGACCAAATGTAGACAACACATTGACTAAATGTAGACAACACATTGACCAAATGTAGACAACACATTGACCAAATGTAGACAACACATTGACCAAATGTAGACAACACATTGACCAAATGTAGACAACACATTGACCAAATGTAGACAACACATTGACCAAATGTAGACAACACATTGACCCTTACAGACAACACATTGACCAAATGTAGACAGCACATTGACCAAATGTAGACAACACATTGACCAAATGTAGACAGCACATTGACCAAATGTAGACAACACATTGACCAAATGTAGACAACACATTGACCAAATGTAGACAGCACATTGACCAAATGTAGACAGCACATTGACCAAATGTAGACAACACATTGACCAAATGTAGACAACACATTGACCAAATGTAGACAACACATTGACCAAATGTAGACAACACATTGACCAAATGTAGACAACACATTGACCAAATGTAGACAACACATTGACCAAATGTAGACAACACATTGACCAAATGTAGACAGCACATTGACCCTTACAGACAACACATTGACCAAATTTGGCCATACATTGACCAAATGTAGACAGCACATTGACCAAATGTAGACAACACATTGACCCTTAAAGACAACACATTGACCAAATGTAGACAGCACATTGACCAAATGTAGACAACACATTGACCAAATGTAGACAGCACATTGACCAAATGTAGACAGCACATTGACCAAATGTAGACAGCACATTGACCAAATGTTGACAACACATTGACCAAATGTAGACAACACATTGACCAAATGTAGACAACACATTGACCAAATGTAGACAACACATTGACCAAATGTAGACAACACATTGACCAAATGTAGACAACACATTGACCAAATGTAGACAACATATTGACCAAATGTAGACAACATATTGACCAAATGTAGACAGCACATTGACCAAATGTAGACAACACATTGACCAAATGTAGACAACACATTGACCAAATGTAGACAACACATTGACCAAATGTAGACAACACATTGACCAAATGTAGACAACACATTGACCAAATGTAGACAACACATTGACCAAATGTAGACAACACATTGACCAAATGTAGACAACACATTGACCAAATGTAGACAGCACATTGACCAAATGTAGACAACACATTGACCAAATGTAGACAACACATTGACCAAATGTAGACAACACATTGACCAAATGTAGACAACACATTGACCCTTACAGACAACACATTGACCAAATGTAGACAACACATTGACCAAATGTAGACAGCACATTGACCAAATGTAGACAGCACATTGACCAAATGTAGACAACACATTGACCAAATGTAGACAACACATTGACCAAATGTAGACACCACATTGACCAAATGTAGACAACACATTGACCAAATGTAGACAACATATTGACCAAATGTAGACAACATATTGACCAAATGTAGACAGCACATTGACCAAATGTAGACAACACATTGACCCTTACAGACAACACATTGACCAAATGTAGACAACACATTGACCCTTACAGACAACACATTGACCAAATGTAGACAACACATTGACCAAATGTTGACAGCACATTGACCAAATGTAGACAACACATTGACCAAATGTAGACAGCACATTGACCCTTACAGACAACACATTGACCAAATGTAGACAGCACATTGACCAAATGTAGACAACACATTGACCAAATGTAGACAACACATTGACCAAATGTAGACAGCACATTGACCAAATGTAGACAACACATTGACCAAATGTAGACAACACATTGACCAAATGTAGACAACACATTGACCAAATGTAGACAACACATTGACCAAATGTAGACAGCACATTGACCAAATGTAGACAACACATTGACCAAATGTAGACAACACATTGACCAAATGTAGACAGCACATTGACCAAATGTAGACAGCACATTGACCAAATGTAGACAACACATTGACCCTTACAGACAACACATTGACCAAATGTAGACAACACATTGACCAAATGTAGACAACACATTGACCAAATGTAGACAACACATTGACCAAATGTAGACAACACATTGACCAAATGTAGACAACACATTGACCAAATGTAGACAGCACATTGACCAAATGTAGACAACACATTGACCCTTACAGACAACACATTGACCAAATGTAGACAACACATTGACCCTTACAGACAACACATTGACCAAATGTAGACAACACATTGACCAAATGTAGACAGCACATTGACCAAATGTAGACAGCACATTGACCAAATGTAGACAACACATTGACCAAATGTAGACAACACATTGACCAAATGTAGACAATACATTGACCAAATGTAGACAACACATTGACCAAATGTAGACAACACATTGACCAAATGTAGACAACACATTGACCAAATGTAGACAACACATTGACCAAATGTAGACAACACATTGACCAAATGTAGACAGCACATTGACCAAATGTAGACAGCACATTGACCAAATGTAGACAACACATTGACCAAATGTAGACAGCACATTGACCAAATGTAGACAACACATTGACCAAATGTAGACAACACATTGACCAAATGTAGACAACACATTGACCAAATGTAGACAGCACATTGACCAAATTCAGACAACACATTGACCAAATGTAGACAGCACATTGACCAAATGTAGACAACACATTGACCAAATGTAGACAACACATTGACCCTTATAGACAACACCAGAGTTTCTTCCAGTCATCTCTTCGGGGGGCGGAGTCCGCCCCCCCCCCCCCCCCCCGAAAAAAGTCTACCCCCCAACGAAATGAAATTTGTATAGAAAATATATACTTTTAACAGTGTCCACCCCCCCGAAGAAAGTCTACCGCCTCCACCCGAAAATTCCAAGTGCCCCCCTGGAGAAAAAAGTCTCGAAGAAACACTGGGCAACACATTGACCAACTCTAGACTGCACATTGACCAGGTAACCAAACACTTATTGATATGGGGGGGGGGCTGTAGGTTATCACTAATCCTGGTTTCCCGGGACTTCCAAGCCTCCCTACCCCCACCCCCGCCCCCCACCCCCCCCCCCCCCTCCTCAAGTGGGTGTCGTATGGCAGGCGAACATTATCACTTAATACACATGAGCCTTAAAGGTCAAGGCCATTTTGTTTATTTCAGCTGACCCACGGCTAATCCATTTTTCAGTTTGACCCAGCCCACCCGTACGTGTGTCAGTCGGTATTTTTACGAATAACCCCCCCCCCCCCCACACACACACACACACACGCACACACACACACACACTAGGGTGTTGTAGTAACACAATTATTATGATCATCAAGCAGTTATTGTCACAGAACTCTTGAGACGTGTGCAAGACTGCAAAAAGTTACATTAAACTGTGTGACTTTCTAGTAAATTTGACCGCCAGATAACCTATGTTTTAATGACTTCCCAATTTGTTTTTAAATTTTCTGGTTTACAATTTGGTTACAGTACGATAACTTTTGTTTATAACCACCTAAGATAACTTCCTCGGTTAATATAACTTTTTTAATCCACAGCGGCTGAACCGAAGGTACTCAAGAAAGGTACGTAACTTCACTTGAAAACTTTTTAAATCATTACAGTGACCTCGCAATAATTAACTCCTAATTTCCCACCTAGCTCTAACTGTAAAATAAAAAAATGTGGTAAAAAAATCTTTCCTTTGATTTCAGTATCGTCCCAATTAAAACGGGGTCGCGCAGGCCGGCGGTAAATTTAAATGCTTCAATCAGTGCAATGACGGCTGCCGGATATTACGTCACCACAGCGGACAGATGGACGCTGACCTTTTGTAGACGGACACTAAAGATGGACACAAGGACAAAATAAACATACGTGACCTTTGACGTCTAGGTTCAATGACCTACTGGACATGCTTGTTACGTGACCTTTGACGTCTAGGTTCAATGACCTACTGGACATACTTGTTACGTGACCTTTGACGTCTAGGTTCAATGACCTAATGGACATACTTGTTACGTGACCTTTGACGTCTAGGTTCAATGACCTACTGGACATACTTGTTACGTGACCTTTGACGTCTAGGTTCAATGACCTACTGGACATACTTGTTACGTGACCTTTGACGTCTAGGTTCAATGACCTACTGGACATACTTGTTACGTGACCTTTGACGTCTAGGTTCAATGACCTAATGGACATATTTGTTACGTGACCTTTGACGTTTAGGTTCAATGACCTACTGGACATACTTATCTGAAGGCTGCTTGGTGACTTTTTTTTTGACAGAACACCAACTTGGTGACTCGCTTGATTGAAGACCAACTTGGTGACTCGATGGATGGGTGACTCGCTTGACAGAACACCAACTTGGTGACTTGATGGATGGGTGACTCGCTTGATTGAAGACCAACCTGGTGACTCGATGGATGGGTGACTCGCTTGATTGAAGACCAACTTGGTGACTCGATGGATGGGTGACTCGCTTGATTGAAGACCAACTTGGTGACTCGATGGATGGGTGACTCGCTTGATTGAAGACCAACTTGGTGACTCGATGGATGGGTGACTCGCTTGATTGAAGACCAACTTGGTGACTTGATGGATGGGTGACTCGCTTGATTGAAGACCAACTTGGTGACTTGATGGAAGGGTGACTCGCTTGACAGAACACCAACTTGGTGACTCGCTTGATTGAAGACCAACTTGGTGACTCGATGGATGGGTGACTCGCTTGACAGAACACCAACTTGGTGACTCGATGGATGGGTGACTCGCTTGACAGAACACCAACTTGGTGACACGATGGATGTTTGACTCGCTTGACTGAATGCCTGCTGAATTATTTTCATGACTGATGACGTAATCGCAAGTTTTAAAAATGCGACTTGACATGATTCCTTTTACATTTGAAAGCTGTATTTACCGCAAACTTTTTGCTTTTCTAACTATGTATTTTTATTTTCCAATTCTATTTGATATGTTAAATATTTACTAGTCTCACAGTTTGTAAATAAAGTACTTGATACATTTATGCTGTTGTCTTGACTTAATCAACTTCTAATTATCGTTAACCCAACACCTGTGTGTCCTGGACACAAAATGGAAAAGATGCAGATGTCCAACAGTTGGCAGGAGGGGAATCAGCAGCCTGTAATGTTAACGCCAGTTAGGCTATTACTTTCTTCAATTTGAATTTATGGTACGCGAAATTAAATCAGAAATTTAAAGTTTAGGCCTGCATCGTAATAAAACCTTCTAAACCTACAAATTACTGCTGATTAAAAGGTATTTCATCTGCATCATATCTCTACATCAACAGCAAGTGGAAAGTAGATCAACATCAACAGCACTTGGAAAGAACACCAAGAAATTTTAGGTTTACAATTTGTTTAAGACTCAGTAGTCTTAAAACTCAGAGACCCCACCCCCCTTTGTTTGTGGCCTACGTAGGGGGGGGGGGGGGGCAGGGACTGAACCCGGGAAGCGGCAATAGGGATAGACTAGCACATTTTAACTGCATTACAGCATTAGTCCGTCAAAATTTAAAAACTAGAACACTAAAAAAAAAAAGACTGTCAACATAAGGTAGGCCATGTCTGTTTACAAAAATAAAATGTAAAATGGATTAAAGGGAAACTACTGGATATTTTAGTTCATTATTCTGCTTTGTTCCCTTGTATAGGCGTAGGGCTACAATTTTCCTTCTTCAATACTTGACTTAATGCTGCTCCAACACTTGACTTAATGCTGCTCCAACACTTGACTTAATGCTGCTCCAACACTTGACTTAATGCTGCTCCAACACTTGACTTAATGCTGCTCAAACACTTGACTTAATGCTGCTCAAACACTTGACTTAATGACTTAATGCTGCTCCAACACTTGACTTAATGACTTAATGCTGCTCAAACACTTGACTTAATGACTTAATGCTGCTCCAACACTTGACTTAATGCTGCTCCAACACTTGACTTAATGCTGCTCAAACACTTGACTTAATGCTGCTCCAACACTTGACTTAATGACTTAATGCTGCTCCAACACTTGACTTAATGACTTAATGCTGCTCCAACACTTGACTTAATGCTGCTCCAACACTTGACTTAATGCTGCTCCAACACTTGACTTACTGACTTAATAATGCTCCAACACTTGACTTAATGCTGCTCCAACACTTGACTTAATGCTGCCTTAACACTTGACTTAACGCTTCTCCCACAATACAATTTGAATTTCGTGTCTAGTATGAGTACGGAGGTGTGCACACAATTTAACCCATTAATGGTTGATTTCATTGAATTTGAAATGATGTATGCCCTGCATTGTTGGGTTTGTGTGTGATGTCTTAGGGGATCGTCCATAAATGATAGGGATAATTCATAAATGATTTTAACAGATTTTACTCAGCTGCCCAAACCACCTGTTATAGTCTTAGGCCTACATTCACGACATTATGACACATTTTCTAACTGCCCGCTTGACAGTACTATTATGGTGTATAACTATAGATGTATGTGTTTTTCGCATTTTTAGCATTTTAAGGTCATGGCTACGGTCAAGGTAACATAGAGCGTCAAAATGGCGGACGAATCAGGTTCGACATTTCCACTTTTACATGTTTTTTTTTTAAATATATTAAGATGATTTTATTAGTTTAAATATAAAATATTGTTTACTTAATTGTATTTAGGCCTAAGTAATCAGATTTCAGATTTATTTTAAGTTTATTAGATCTAGATCTAGTACTGTTAATATTCTTTGGCAGTTTTTGCTTGTAGAATGTGTAGATTAGATTATAATTGATTATATTATTATATTATTTATTAGCCTGTAGAGTGTAGACTGTAGGTAGACTATGACGAAAACTACCGACACTACTGACTACTGGTAACTCTGCAACTGGTAATTCACACTCAAAGTCTTATCACCACTCAAGTACTCTAGTTACTAGAATCTAGTTGTAGATATATTTAATATTAAGTAAAGTTCTATTATAACTTAGATCTATATACTATACTAAGACTTAGTAACTAAGATGGCATTTGGTGAGAATATTATTACTCTACTTTACTCTAATTAATAAACTACTTAGATCTACTTACTAACTTAGCAGTCTCATTAGCAGTCAGTCTAGCTTCTCACTTTTAACCACAGACCACAGGGTTACATTATAGGCTACTAACCCAATTTAACATAGACAAAACAATTTCATTATAGCTCTTCTGTGAGGCTATACATCTAGATCTTGGCCTATAATTATACTTAAATATGGCTAATAGGCCTATGCTCTATAGCAGGGGTCTCCAAACTACGGCCCGCGGGCCGGATGCGGCCCGCGAGGTCCTCTCATCCGGCCCGCGGAGATCTTTTTTTCCACGGAAAAAACGTTTGTTGGTGATGGCTGAGGAACTTTGCTCAGAAAAATCAAAGACATGCCTGGATGAAACTGGCCCCCGAACTGAAATTTGATAGTTAATGTGGCCCTCGGACTGAAAAGTTTGGAGACCCCTGCTCTATAGTATTACTATTTAGAATTTACTCGTCTAATATAATAGTCTAATGTAATATTACTAATTACATTTACTTTTCTATAAAAATTAGAAATGCTTATTAATATATTCTTCAATAGATCTAGACTATATTTATTGTATTCTATTGTATTTGTATCAATTTATTTTTTTGTTATTGCTCTTAGTTTCGGTACAAGATTTCTATAGTTAACACCAGCAGTATAATCTAAGGTGCCTCACTGTAGCACTAGACATAGGGTACAGAATGTTTGTATAAATGAATGACTATTTACACATTAAACATTTTGTTAACAGATGTTCCACCTTTAGAGGACATGACAGATACTCTGAGAAAAGCAGAAGCAATAAGAACTGGCCTCACAGGTGAAGTCCTCAAAAACAAACCAGCAGCTCCAAAAGACAGAGCTAAAGTGAGAAAAAACATTACTGCCCGTGTTATTCAGCCAGAAAATTTAGGAGATGGGAATGTATCAAATGCTCAAAAGGTAAAAAAGTTTTGTTTTTTATGGAATATTAAGAAAACACTGCAGTAAAATTTATTGTGACTGTTTCATGTTAAACTTTTTTGTAATGCAGATCCTAAAAAGAAGGTTAAACAATTATTCTTAGCTTTTCAATTTAGGTATCCAACTAGTGTCCTGATTATGAAATTTTAGATCTTTCTAGCTAAAGTTTAAAGTAAATATTCATTTCATTATGATGTTCAAAAAGGTAACTTCTAGCAGAATAGAAGAGATCGAATCAGCTCAATCTTCAGCAGGAGACAACTCAGTTGTACATAAACCTTCAACAGAAAACAGCACAGGAGTGAAGAAACCTTCAACAGAAGACAGTACAGCAGTAATTAAACCTTCAGCAGGAGACAGCAACACAGCAGTAAACAAACCTTCATCAGGGTTATTTGGTGGGATGAAGAAAGGTTTCTTGTTTGGTGGCCCCTCAAAAGTCAGTAAACCATCAACAATTGCAAGCAAGACGGGTGATTCTTCTGCTCCCAAAACTAAGGCTAGCCCAGTTGAACAGGATGATACAATTCCTTTTGTGAGACCCACAGGTAGCTCAAGTCTCACCCTAGAGGAGGTACAGCAAGCCATGTCTGAAACAAAAGGTCTCTTAGACAACCAAGGTCAGTTGTTTTTTATTGCAGTTTAATTTTAGATCTGTTCATTCTTTTAACTTACCTGGTAGATTTGTTTCATTTTGAAGCAAGTATTAAAACATTTCTGAAGTTTAATTATTGTCAGGTCAATCAAACCATAATTGCACCCCTTAATTTTTCATATTTGTTATCCCTCCATTATGATGTCCATTTGCTCATCCAGCTACTTAATTCTCAGTATATGTTAAGTTTTATTTCTTTGAAAAATTTTGAACTTTTTGTTTTAAAAAAATGCTATGCTATAGGTATTAAATACTTGGCAATTAGTCAATTTAAAAATGTGTAAACAATAGCTTACTATCTAAAACTGTCAAATAGTTAAACAGAAATTCCCTATATTAGATAACCCAAGTAAAATGGCAATGTGCAGGCCTAATACAAATGGGTCATGGTAATGTTCAAGTAAATTATTTATTGTTGAACAGGTGAGGTACTAAGATCTCTCAGCCTCTTTCATTCTCCATGATTTCAATTTCAGATTGGATCACTGATGATTTGCTAAGTAAAGTGGAGAAAAATGAATTTCTTCTCAAGAGATTTGCTGATCCAACTTTTATGAATGCGTTACATGAATTTCAAACTAATCCTGTAGCAGCGATGGAAAAATATAAGAGCAACAAAGAAGTTGAGAAATTTTTAATGGAGTTTTGTGGTCTTTTGGGTAAAAATTTTTCACTATATACTTATATTCACCGCTTTTTATTTTAACGAAAAGACTTCCTTGGAATATTTGGTACAAATTACGAAATAAATTACAATCTTTACAAGAAAAACTCCATATTAAAATTTGTGTTAGAATAAAACATGTATAATACTCTGCTGGGTTGTAACAGAACAATGGCTGTAGAGCTTGGTTTCTGTACCATGTTCACTCTTACTGTAATTTACTCAATATCCCTTTCCTACCACAGGTAAATTAAATATTCCTAATTTGGTTTAAGAAAATAGATAACTATATTAATGCTGACAAGTGACACTTCGGTAAATAACTCTTAACAACCTGTATAATCTTCCTGTAATATTATTCCCTGATCAAGTGAAGTTGTGAAATATTTTGTATTCATTAGCGATTACATTTGTTTATGCAAATTTGTACCAAACAAACTGCGTATAACTATGTAACATTTTAATAAAAATCATTTCTGAGCTATAATCATTACAACTGTTTCCTTAAGAGCTGTAAATTTGCCTTATTTAAATGACGTCAGTTTAAGTGATGTCTAAAAATAAACCACTGAAACATTGTTTTCCAGGTGATCACTTCACCAACATGACGAGCTCACCCAGTCCACAGTCCAATCAAATCCCACAACCAAAGCCACAGCAGCCTCAGAACAACAGCAAACCTAAAATAATTGAAATTACAGAAGCTAACCAAACAAAAGTTCCAACGCCAAAAAAACCTGTGGAGACTAAAGAACAGACCACCTCCCTTCCAGCTTTAAACCTGCCCAACAAAGGTGTGAAAGACAGCCATATCAATGTGGAGACACAACCTGCCTACCAGGCTGAAATAACCCAGGTTCCACCCATTGATGATGCAGAAGTCAAAGAACTTTTAAAAGACCCAAAAACAATGGAGATTTTATTGGATCCAAAAGTCATGCAATTAATTCAGCTTCTAAAGCAAGATCCAGAGAAGGCACGGAGGTAAGTGTGTTATCATTCTACATTAACTTTATAATTGGTAATTTTGTTGTCACTCTGCATTTGCAATAACTTCATAATTGATTTGTTTTGATGTATAACTAGCGGGGGGGGGGGTATATTTTTACTAGTATATATATATATTTTTTAAATTTTAGTAACCATATAACCATAGCTGTTTAACAATATAAACATACATAAAATTTGCTTTCTTTTCAGCATGGTTGAAAAAGCTGATGGAGATTTACGAGACAAAATCAGTTTTCTTGTTGGAAAAAGATTGCTACAGTTTCAAATATATTAGCCATTATTTAATGCTTGTGAGATTGTGTGATGTATGACTGTAGCTACTGGATACATTTGGTAATGACTGCAAGATACTTGTTCAATGGTGTGTTCAACTTTTAAGCCTTTAGAATGTGCAAATTTTAACAGTTTATCTGTTATTGTGATATCAGTAAGAATTTTTACCCTTTTTCTAATGGTACTATAAGATAATAATTCCTACCCAAACAATTTAAACAATTTTCAATTATGTGCTTATGACTTTTTAATAAATACACAATCAAATTACAAACTATGGATTTAATTAAAAAATTATATTAAAATGGTAATTTTTATTAAATAGTTTATTTACTGTGTTATTTTTAATAATCGTTTGCAAATAGCCAACATCATCGGTTAATATTTGTTTACTGTATTATGAAAAATATTGTAGCCTTAACTCGAAGGTGCTGCAATAAAAATGTATGTTTGTAAATCTGAAAACATCTTTTGACTGTTTTTTAATCTCCTGAATGATCCACAATTTATCCAGATTTTTTATGAGCACAAATGAAATGCTATTAAAATTTAATAATACAATTGTATGCACTGCCTGTTTTTCATCCAAAATGATTTTTTTTACAAGTTTTACTTCCCTCACACACACAAAAAGCCAGACGCAAATCCCTAAAATGATGTCACACCTGAGCCTACGCCCCTCAGAATTGTGATTTCTTTCTAAAGTTTTGACTGAACTCTGTCAGTGTAGAGTATATTAATTAATTTCTTTACAATTAACAGGAAGAGCTGTCTAAAAACCCAAAATAATATCTAAAATTCAGTTTGTAACATTATTTAAATGCAAAAGTGTGTGACTTCACACTATCTGACACCCTCTCCCTCTGACAGTCATAAAACTACGAACCCTCTCTTTCTTGCTAGGAACAATACAAGACACAGAAAAAAGAGCCAGACAAAAATCACAACATCAGGAAATGGACGGGTTTAACACTAGGAGAGGCACTGATCCAAGGTGTAAGATGGATATAATGGAGTGGATAAAGAGTAAAAGACAATTGAACACTAATGGCTTCACAGGTTCACCTAGAGTACAGGACAAGAAGTTTTTAGGAATGTCTGGGCTGAAAATAATGTTGGAAATATTTGTATTTTGAATTACTAGTTGGATGTGATTTTGCTTATGGTCACATGAGAAGAAATTGGCTTAGCATTAGACTACAAGAAGACTTGATGAACATTTTTGATTTAAAATTGAGAATCAATGAATGCAATCATTTTTATTAATAAAAGTTTGAGTTTGTGCGTATGTACAACAGCAAATAATTTTCTTCCTAAGAATTATATGAGGAAGGAAACTGTAAATAAACTCGTAGGGATTTTACAATACCTGCCTAGACTAGGCGACATGACTAGGCCGATATAAAAATATTATTTGATATTATTAATTAGTAATTAGATACAAAAATTCACAATCAAGGTAATCAACTCTTGTCGACTTATTTACCGGAAATGGATTATCTCCCTTTGATGAAGTTTAACTTCTGCTGTTGTGCTAACTTGGAAGTCGACGTTTTTTATTTAAAGAAAAACATCGCAGAAATAGATATATTTATCCTAGGTAAAATTTTATATTTAAAACTGCTTTTTAATTATTGTACTATAAATCTATATAAAAACAAAGACATTTTTACTAAAATCAAAGCACAGCCAAGCTTATTTCTTTTTAATTTATTGTTATATTTCACTAGCACATGGTTTTTGACTGAAGAGTGGGCCCCGCCATCATCTGCAGCAAAGCAAACGAATAGCAGCCCGCGTATCGCTGAACTATCCTAGCAACTTCCAGCATGGATCATTTTCAAACACCAAATGCCATGGATAGGCAGTTAGATGTCTTACACTGTCATGCTGGTGGGTAGACTTTGGATCAAACTGATGTTATAATAAAATAATTTGTTTCATGTTATCAGTTACATGGAGCCTAGGACTGTCCTTTTTTAAAATGTTTTTCTTTTAGTTTTAGGCCAGTTTTGGTTATTCTAACTAAACTTTACTCAACAATCATTTATTTTATTATTATAGATCTAATTCTAGATCTATAATAGATATAACAGGCCTAGATCTAGAGAGTTAATTTAATATTTATTTAGCTTCTAGTTAGCCGCCCTAGATTTATAATTTTATTAATTTTAATTGACGGGGTCAGGGTCTTTTTATTTTATTACTTTTGACTTTTGAAAATTCCAAAATTTTAGCACTAATTTCTCGAATCCTAGATCTAGATTCTATGCGTCAATCAAATAGATCTAGATCTAAATTCTAGCTAGACCTAGATCTATCAATCAGCACTAAAGTGAAAATTAAGAATAAATATAGGCCTTTTTTTTATAGGCCCTAAGCCTAGGCCTAAAATATTCCTGGAACACTCACATTAGTCTACTACCTTGAGGACTATCTTCACCTTTCTAGTAAAATAAGTTAACTTTAGATTACTCTGAAGGCCTAAACTTTATGTTTAGGCCTAAGCCTTTTCATTCTGACCGAAATCCACAAATTTATTAGGCCTATCTTATTATCAATATCAAGCTTACACAAACTCAAAGTGTCAGATGTTGAATTAATTATAATTAGGTTAGTATTCTAATTAGACTACCAGCCTACCAAATTTATATAAATCGACCTATTCTATTCACAGTAAATATCCTACCAGAATATAGGCTTTTTGAATTTATACCTATACAATAGCCCATTTAATGTATTAGAAAATAGGGATAGAGGCCAAACTAAGTATAACCAATGTTGGGGTATGGCATGATCACATGGTAGAGCTTAGACTGCTGATCAAGATATTTAGGTTTAGATTCCGGGATTGAGTTTATTTTGATTAGCCTAGCTAAATTCGTGTGATTGAAAGTTAACTGTTAAAATTATAGGTAGCCTACAGAAGTCCTGAGTACCAGAGAATATTTAGTCCTATGCCTATTGTTTTTTAACTGTACCTTGCAGGAAATTCCTTTGCTATAGCCTAAATTATCATTGTATTTTTACTGTATTTTGCTTATTAATATTTTGGTTCAAGCTATCAAAAATATGAACATGGATAGTCTTACTTTTGTATTTGTACTATTAGTTTGGTGAATAGTTAATTTATTAAGTCCTAGTTATTAATGTCATTTAATGCTGGTTTAAACTAATACACTAATAAATTGGGCAAATTAAATTTCCCTAACTAATAATACAAAAGTGTCAACAAATAAATAAGTCTATTCATGTTCCAGCTTTCTGTAGCTTCTCTCTTTGCCTGCCCTTCTTTTTATAAAAATAAAATGCTGTATTACTAGTGTTAGAGCAATATTAAATTTTAGCGCCATTTTGGGTTATGGTTACTGTACTGTTTTATAGTTAGTGTTGACAACACTTTGAGACTGTTGTCTGTTGGTAATAGTAGTGTAAAAACTGGTCCACGCAAGTACCAGCTGATGCAGTACCGATGGGGTATCTTTTTTTTTTTAAGTTTCTTGACATCCTTAAGCATATCATATTAGGAGTATTTGCAGTAGTAGGGCCTGCAGTGAAGGATAGTTAAGTATGCTTAGAGTAGTGCTGATCTCAGTAAACCTTCATATGCATAGATCAGAGAAGCTGGTGAATTCTACTTCAGCTGCACCACATTGAATGGAAAGTGCACATTCATTCAAAGGCAAAATACATTTTAACACCCCCCCCCCCCTACATAAAAGTAAATATTAATACCTTAAAAGGTATCAATTTCATTTCTATGTTGAGATTTTGTTTGATGTAGATTAAAAATACCCAAATGCTTAATTCCCTTTGTTAAGTAGATAAGATACATGTAGAGGAATTAAGGGTCTCTGAAGTATTTACATGCTCGTTATTTCTGACAGTTTATAAATATATACATTGGCATCAATAATGATGTCATGTAATTTAAATCACCATTTTTTAAAAATTCTTATAAATGACACTACATACATTTTAAATAGTCTATTTTAATAATTGTATGTATTCAATATTAAATACATTTTATTTAAACATTGCTCCCACTGTCTGGGCTACATACAGCATTGTTTTTTAAATAATTGTTTTACTGGTATAGGAATGTTCAAGTCATAGGTTGATTATTTTATCTGTGTTTAAAATAAGCAAAGTTTCACTCTCAAACCTGACTGTCTATGGGGCAAGTGAAGTAGAGTTCACTTGTTTCTGTGACCTCGGCATATGAAGAGATAGTGAGTTAGGTACCCATCAGAGTTGGATGGACTCAGGGACGGTCTACTGACTTGAACCCGGATTCGAACTCAAGACTTACAGGTTAGCAGTCCAGCTCTCTACCACTAGACCACTCCGTCCCATTGTCACTGACTGACTAGTCTGATACCAACAAAACCATACATGTTTTACTGTGTGCATTAGGTACATTATTCTCATCCAGCTGAGTGGTGTACCAAATCTTGACTGGATTTGCCTACCTAGCTGACCCTGGCAATGGCATGATATATTGTGACAGCCTTTATTTTGCCTTGACTGTTCTTTCTGTCTACATAAGTATTTGATAGGCTGTGTCAGTTAACTGTGTTTGTTGTGAGATGAGTGGGCCTGTGTGCACATTTCAACAGTGTAGGTGCTGGCTTTACTAGAACTTAATGTCTCCTATATCACCTTCCTCAAGCTTTTATGTCAACAAAAGACATTTACTTCATAAGAACGAAGCTATGCCTGCTTCATTTTTTTTTCTCTAAGCCTGCTGGCGGTGCGTGGAATGAGGACAGTGCAACGAACTGTGTCTTATAATAACTGTTATTGCTATAACGCTTTGATTCATTCAAAGCTTTCTTTTTACAGTCTAGCTTTGACTGTCAAATCTAGGGGTGTGGTGGTAATGTCAGTTGATGGTTGCTTACTGTCTTAAAGCTAACTAGAATAGTGGGTGCTGGCTTTTCAAAGAGTTTCGACACTTTTTTAAATTAGGGTTGGGTATCGTGGTCTATGCTTATTTCTAAAGTGCATTTTTGTAATAAAAACTTCCATGACAATTGCTGTCTGGTACGTACGTACCCACTTCTTCTCTTCTCCCCCCCCCCTCTCCCCTTTAAAAAAAACCTCTAACTTGCCCATATTGGTCAAATGAGCACATTAAACCAGCCATCGACACAAAGGTATGGGACACAAAGGTATGGATGTAGCGACCTGGGCAGTAAAAGCGATGTTTGACCAATAGCCATAGCGTATGTGCTGGTTGTTGTAGCGTGTCAATGTCAACAAGCTGCCGGTGTTTGTACACAGTGGCACGCTCCTGTCAGATAGGGAAATATTTGGGGACGTCGTCTCTTGCTGTCACATTTTTCACCCTCTGTATAAAGCTCGTGTTTTTATTTACTGTCACAAGCACGACATCAACTTGACGAGAATTGCAAACTGTTACGGTGAAATGAGCCATACTGATGTATGTATTGACCGTTCCGGACATGATTAAAACAGGTTCACGCTTGACTCACTAGGCCCCAGAGCCATATGTTGAAACAGAAAGTAATTGTAGGTTAATTACCCCTGACAGTGATGGAAGGTCGGAGGCTGAATCACGCTATTCATACAGGTCATGCCTCTTTTTAAAAATGTACTGTGATATCGCATTGTTAGATATTTGATCAGTTCTCTCCGTGTTGTTTATTACACTATGTCGTCTTTTCTCTTATTTCTATTTTTAATGATGTGGCCTATTTTGCCCGACAACCTAAATGCAGAGTTTCATGTGAACTATTCTTCATGTTTGAATATCGGTGGGAGGCTGTATATGATGATTCCCAGCACTGGTTCAAACAAAGGTCCCTCATGGGTCAGTCAGTCCCTGACACACTCTGTGGTCAAACAAATGTGCGACCACATCACTGTCCGCGCTATCGTGCTCAACTACTGATGAATGCCCTCTAAATACTGAAAGTAGCGGTAATTCAAATACAAAATACGTGTGTGTACATGTAGGCGTGTGCACTAGTATATGGATGACTGCCTCGTGTTTTCTTTCGATGCACACTTTGTTGACAAGAATAGTCGGCATTCCTTTCTCCGCTGTTTATATTACGTTGGCCAGCAATGTTGTCATACCTTTAGATGCTGTCATAATGTCATTGTATGGGTGATCCATCGATATTTTGCTAATTTGAGATCCTTGGATTTTTACTGATGTTGTGTTGCAAAAATCATGTATTTTACTTAATTCTAACGTGTGCTTAAATGTATATTTAAAGGAACTAGACCATAACACGTGTAACTAAAATATTTTCTTGTCATGTAGCTAGGTCACTTTATGGGGTCTCTAAATTTCTCAGTTGTCGTCAGTGTATGGTTTTACACTGCGAACTTGCTTCCATCGGAGTTTTCTTACATTAGTCACGTCTTTGATGTGCTGACGGAATATTCAGTTACGGTAGACAAACCCTGAGGTAATAACACATGGAAACTAATTTGGTGTATATAGCTACCAGTGTATGGGTTAAAACCATAACAGATTCATCTATGCCCTGTAGTTGACGTTTAATACACTAGGCTCATGGGCCGATGTTTATGTAGCGTACCCTGTACAGGTTAGCACTGGCGCGCCTATAGTTTCCACCTTGATTTAGTACACATTGAAGGTTCCACCAAAAGTAACGCTCTGATCACACAACACCATACTAGTGTAAGTCAGCCTATACTTACAGCAAACCTCTGATTTTATAGACTAGTGGGGTGGGATAAGTATCCATATTTCGTTTTTAGTTTATAACTATTGCATTTATCTGCCGTCTCTTGTTTAGTCGTATTAGACAAGTAAACAAAAGGCGTTGACTGTAAAGTTGAAGCCACTCATCCTCCGCCAGCCGTCAGTGAAAATACTGGTGTATACAAGGGTC